CTGCTCGTTACCAGCTGTCTGTTCGCCTAGCATAAGAAAGGCATCCGCAGCGGATGCTGCGGCAGCGTTTACGACCAGCATGTCTTTGTCGGCCATCGACACAACAACCTCTGCGCCGGCTAAGGTGACACGGCACTCGAACTTCTTCAGGCCCTTGGCAGGGTTGGTGTCGCTCGATGTGCTGTTTGGTTTGGGATGGCCGCAACACGAGGACTTGGATGACAGCTTGTTTTTGCTTTTGCGAGGGTCAGGCGCCGGTTTACGACCTCTTGGTGCGCGAAGCCATCAGGTCGGATGATGGCACCTCTGTGTAATAAGCCAATTTTGACTGCTTGTCCGTCTTCAAAGCTGTAAGAGCGCAACACGCGGAATTCGGCGTTGAACTGCTCCCAGGCTTGCCAGGCTTGGGCCTCTAACCTCTCAAAGTACGTGTAGTCCATGAGTGCCCATGGCTTCAAGTCTGAAGTGAGCCTCTGTTGCGAGAGCGTCAGCTGCAGCCAAATGTAGGGAATGCCGATGCGGCACTCTTCTGCGGATGAGTCAAGATACTCGATTCGGATCAACTCCATCTGCTCAGGATTGAGACTGCCAAGGGTCTGGCCGCGACTCAACACTTTGCCTGAAAGACATGCTCGCAGCACATCAATCAAATCCTTGACGCTCGCGCCGTCAAAGCTTACAGCACCGGGGTATTTTTCCCGCAAGCGCTGCATGACTGCGCCTACAAGAGCGCTGGCGCTCGCGCTCGGCATGCCCTTCAAGGACTCCTCGAGGGATTCCAGGGCCCTGCCATGGCCGCCCATGTCCATTGTCAAGAGGTCTTTCGGGGGCTGATTGGGGATGGCAGCCACCTGCTGCCTGGTGACTGCCGTCACCCGTGGCAGCTTTAAGTACTGGCGGGCACTCTGCGTCGCTGTCACGCACGCTACAACAAATGGGGGTGTATCCTGGATCACGAGGCGGCAGACCTCCCGCAACACCTGGTAGAAAGGCTCATTCTTGCCTACGCCCTTGCCACGCTGGTTGAATCCCGGCAGCTCCTGCATGCCATCCAACCCGATCACCACTGTGGCGTCAGGTGGCAGAACCAATCCAAAGACATCTGCTGGAGTGAGGCCATTGGGACACCCAGCCCAGCCCGAAATTTTGCGAAGGGCGCCTGCGTCGTCGAACGCCTGC